TTCCCCTTTTCGCCGTATCGCCACTGCTCCCACTGCTCCCCGCCCCGGCTGCTCGGCGTGTACAGTGGTGCCCGGGGCCGCCCCGCCGCACTTTGCGCACTCACACTATCACGCAAACGCGGACATTGTTTCGGTTCGACGGGGGCACCGCAGCACCGCACCGCACGTCGCTGCGCTCCCGTTCAAATACTTTGCCACGCGACAGTGTGACCAACCTTTCTGCTGTTTCGCATGTCACGTTGGCAGCCCTGTGGGGGGTCAACGGCACGTCACGGTCACGTAAACAATAACAGCTGAGAAGCAGCCAGCCAGCAGCCGCGATATGTCACACCGTTGATGCCGGTCGAAAGAAGCGCTATTTCTTCTCGCTGAAGAAGAGCGGGACAGGGGCAGCCTCTGATTCTTTGTCACTTCTCCGCCCGCCGTCCGTCGAGGTGTGTAGCCCGAATCCAGTGTGAGTCACAGAGTTCCGAAGAGATGCGATAGGCGGCCTTAACCTTGCCCGTCTTGTTGTCGATCGCTGCCAAATTGTAGTGAATGGGCGATGCACCTTGGTCCGATGGGAGAGGCTGCTGCACGCCATTGACGCGATCGGTGCAGCCTGCTGCAGTGCGCTGCACGGCCCTGTCAAGGCCGCCGAGCTGGACGATGATAGGGCCCCGCGCGCTGAGCTGCGCTGGCTGGACGTTGGACCGGCCAGCTGAGCCTGCTGCTGAGCCGTGCCGTCCGCCGGTTATGGATGATGTTACATCGCATCCCGTCACCGCTTAGCGCGTTTGGCGAGCGGCGGCCCCTCTCTGGCCCTGCCCGCCACTCCACTCCTCTCACTCTGATCTAGTTCACTCTCCGCTCCTGGGCTGCTGCTTGGTGCCTGAGGTGAGGACTGTGTTTCGGATAGTGTTGGGGTTGTGTCGTATCTGAGGCTCCCGCTGTACCACCCCTCTAAGCTCCAGGACAGGGCCTCTGTTCTGTTTATTTGCAAAAGAATGTAGTACGTGAACTCTAGTGTCAATGTCCTCTGGCAGAAGCGCACTGGAATAACAAGCGACAGTGGACAGACTTGGTCGTAGTTTGACAAAAATGCCCTACATTTAGTTACTCTGTGTTATGCTCACAAAGCTGTTTTGTGAGAGAGTATTTGTAGTAGTGAAAGTAAAAAGAAAAAGGAACTGGACAAGGTGGAGCGGGATGGGGGGTGGGAAGGGGGGGGGGGGGTCATGGAGAACTGGAGTGGGGATTTCTTATGCCCCATACCTCCACCCCTGCCTCCTGCCTGTCCCCCGCCCCCACCGGCCCCTCTTCCTCCCACCTCTCACTTTTCTCCCACCTCCTGCCTCATCATTACTGCCCTCCCCCCCTCTCCCCCCTGCTCCTCTCAGAGTCCCACAACAGTGGTGCTGTTGGCTCAGACTGCCCAACCAGCCAGTCAGTCTCTTCCCAACGCCCGGGGACTCAGCTTCTTTGTACGAATGCAAGTGTTTACCAAAGGACAGGGCAGACATTCCTCTGCCTCTTGTCCAGGAGTGTGACGAGTGAAGTGTAGTTGAGACAGGGGGACAGATTTTAATGTGAGTTTGTGTCAAGAGAAGTGCAACAGAAAAAGTGATTGTGTGTGTGCGATCATCAGTGGATTATGACATGCATATGCTGAGCCAGTGGTCTTTCTTCTGCTTTCAGTAAAAATGAGCTTAAAAGTATCATTAGTGATTGTGAGTGTGCTGATTGCTGCGACTGCTGTTCTGGCCCTGGACAATGGCCTCGCAAGAACACCTCCTATGGGATGGTTAGCATGGGAGCGTTTCCGGTGTAACACTGATTGCAAGAATGACCCCGACAACTGTATCAGGTAAGTTCTCCAGCTGATAGGCATAGATATGTATGCAACTCATTGAGCATCTGAATTTATGAAATAAATAATTTTTGTTCTAAATTTGTGTTTGGTAATTTTTAAGAGCTGCTTAGAAATGCTATATAGTTGACTTCTACCAATGTCTCAAGTATGTTTTCAGCAGGCTCTAGAGGTAACAAGGGATTCATCCCCAGGCTGCAGTAGTAATGTACTTTCTTACTACAAGCTGCTCTTGATTATATTTCTATTAGTTTTGACAAAGAAAATTTATTTTTCATATATTCACATATTCAAATTCATGCTTCTTCAGCTAGATCATTTAACTAATACATCTTTGTATTTTAGTGAGAGGCTGTTCAGAACTATGGCTGACCTGGTCGTGTCAGAGGGCTATGCAGATGTAGGCTACGAATACATCAACGTAGATGACTGCTGGCTTGAAAAAGAGAGGAGCTTTTCAGGACAACTTGTAGCAGATAAACAGAGATTTCCTAGTGGCATGAGGTCTCTTGCTGACTATGTAAGTTGTTGAGGTTTTGAAACTAGAATTTTTAAAAATTGTGCATTATTACCTCTGTACTACTTATATCATATTTTTCAGGTACACTCAAAAGGACTTAAATTTGGTATCTATGAAGATTTTGGAAACTACACTTGTGCTGGTTACCCTGGTGTACTTGGTTACTTGCAACTGGATGCTCAAACTTTTGCTGAATGGGATGTAGATTACGTGAAGTTAGATGGCTGTTATGCTCACCCCAGTGAGATGGACAGAGGTACACTTGACATCTATTAAATAGTCTAAAACAACATGCAAGCAATAAGTTCTATTAGATATATTTCTAATTATATTTTTTGTTCAGGTTATCCCGAATTTGGATACCATTTAAATCGTACTGGACGCCCAATGATTTACTCATGCAGTTGGCCTGTTTACCAAATATATGCAGGCATGCAGGTTGGAAACATTGACAGATTTTTGTGTTATTTTTGCTGGAGAAAATCAAGCGTTTTGTAGTGATTGTGTCTAAAAACTTGTTTTATTTACCATCCAGCCAAATTTCTCCTCTATTGTGGAGCACTGCAATCTCTGGCGTAACTATGATGACATTCAAGATTCATGGAAGAGTCTTGAAACAATCTTTGATTATTATGGTGATAACCAGGATGTTATTATTCCAAATGCAGGACCTGGACACTGGAATGATCCTGACATGGTGAGCAACATATGCTTTAAAATTTGAAGTTGGAAAAGTAAACTGTGGAGTCAGCAAAATATTATCACTTGAAAATATCATTTGGCTGTAATTAGGTTGAAGTATATGTGATCTAAGTTAATATCTTTAAAACTATGTATGTTACAGCTTATCATTGGAAACTTTGGACTTAGTTATGAACAAAGTAAGACTCAGATGGCGTTGTGGGCCATTTTAGCTGCCCCATTGCTCATGTCTGTTGATCTGAGAACAATTAGACCAGAGTACAAAGCTATTCTTCAAAACAAGAAGATTATTGCTGTTGATCAAGATCCCCTTGGAATCCAGGGCCGCCGTATTTACAAGGTAATCTTATCTTATAGTGCTGGAAAAAATAAATCAGATACAGGAAGTATTTAATTTAAAGATTTTGTACCTATAATAGATAACTAATATTGTTTTGATTTGCAGCACTCTGGCATTGAAATTTGGGCCCGTCCCATCAGTCCTACATACCAAAATTACTTCTCATACGCCCTTGCTTTTGTGAACCGCCGTGTGGATGGCACTCCATCAGACATTGCTGTCACGTTGCAGGAACTAGGACTGTACAACCCTGGTGGGGGGGTCATGGAGAACTGGAGTGGGGATTTCTTATGCCCCATACCTCCACCCCTGCCTCCTGCCTGTCCCCCGCCCCCACCGGCCCCTCTTCCTCCCACCTCTCACTTTTCTCCCACCTCCTGCCTCATCATTACTGCCCTCCCCCCCTCTCCCCCCTGCTCCTCTCAGAGTCCCACAACAGTGGTGCTGTTGGCTCAGACTGCCCAACCAGCCAGTCAGTCTCTTCCCAACGCCCGGGGACTCAGCTTCTTTGTACGAATGCAAGTGTTTACCAAAGGACAGGGCAGACATTCCTCTGCCTCTTGTCCAGGAGTGTGACGAGTGAAGTGTAGTTGAGACAGGGGGACAGATTTTAATGTGAGTTTGTGTCAAGAGAAGTGCAACAGAAAAAGTGATTGTGTGTGTGCGATCATCAGTGGATTATGACATGCATATGCTGAGCCAGTGGTCTTTCTTCTGCTTTCAGTAAAAATGAGCTTAAAAGTATCATTAGTGATTGTGAGTGTGCTGATTGCTGCGACTGCTGTTCTGGCCCTGGACAATGGCCTCGCAAGAACACCTCCTATGGGATGGTTAGCATGGGAGCGTTTCCGGTGTAACACTGATTGCAAGAATGACCCCGACAACTGTATCAGGTAAGTTCTCCAGCTGATAGGCATAGATATGTATGCAACTCATTGAGCATCTGAATTTATGAAAGAAATAATTTTTGTTCTAAATTTGTGTTTGGTAATTTTTAAGAGCTGCTTAGAAATGCTATATAGTTGACTTCTACCAATGTCTCAAGTATGTTTTCAGCAGGCTCTAGAGGTAACAAGGGATTCATCCCCAGGCTGCAGTAGTAATGTACTTTCTTACTACAAGCTGCTCTTGATTATATTTCTATTAGTTTTGACAAAGAAAATTTATTTTTCATATATTCACATATTCAAATTCATGCTTCTTCAGCTAGATCATTTAACTAATACATCTTTGTATTTTAGTGAGAGGCTGTTCAGAACTATGGCTGACCTGGTCGTGTCAGAGGGCTATGCAGATGTAGGCTACGAATACATCAACGTAGATGACTGCTGGCTTGAAAAAGAGAGGAGCTTTTCAGGACAACTTGTAGCAGATAAACAGAGATTTCCTAGTGGCATGAGGTCTCTTGCTGACTATGTAAGTTGTTGAGGTTTTGAAACTAGAATTTTTAAAAATTGTGCATTATTACCTCTGTACTACTTATATCATATTTTTCAGGTACACTCAAAAGGACTTAAATTTGGTATCTATGAAGATTTTGGAAACTACACTTGTGCTGGTTACCCTGGTGTACTTGGTTACTTGCAACTGGATGCTCAAACTTTTGCTGAATGGGATGTAGATTACGTGAAGTTAGATGGCTGTTATGCTCACCCCAGTGAGATGGACAGAGGTACACTTGACATCTATTAAATAGTCTAAAACAACATGCAAGCAATAAGTTCTATTAGATATATTTCTAATTATATTTTTTGTTCAGGTTATCCCGAATTTGGATACCATTTAAATCGTACTGGACGCCCAATGATTTACTCATGCAGTTGGCCTGTTTACCAAATATATGCAGGCATGCAGGTTGGAAACATTGACAGATTTTTGTGTTATTTTTGCTGGAGAAAATCAAGCGTTTTGTAGTGATTGTGTCTAAAAACTTGTTTTATTTACCATCCAGCCAAATTTCTCCTCTATTGTGGAGCACTGCAATCTCTGGCGTAACTATGATGACATTCAAGATTCATGGAAGAGTCTTGAAACAATCTTTGATTATTATGGTGATAACCAGGATGTTATTATTCCAAATGCAGGACCTGGACACTGGAATGATCCTGACATGGTGAGCAACATATGCTTTAAAATTTGAAGTTGGAAAAGTAAACTGTGGAGTCAGCAAAATATTATCACTTGAAAATATCATTTGGCTGTAATTAGGTTGAAGTATATGTGATCTAAGTTAATATCTTTAAAACTATGTATGTTACAGCTTATCATTGGAAACTTTGGACTTAGTTATGAACAAAGTAAGACTCAGATGGCGTTGTGGGCCATTTTAGCTGCCCCATTGCTCATGTCTGTTGATCTGAGAACAATTAGACCAGAGTACAAAGCTATTCTTCAAAACAAGAAGATTATTGCTGTTGATCAAGATCCCCTTGGAATCCAGGGCCGCCGTATTTACAAGGTAATCTTATCTTATAGTGCTGGAAAAAATAAATCAGATACAGGAAGTATTTAATTTAAAGATTTTGTACCTATAATAGATAACTAATATTGTTTTGATTTGCAGCACTCTGGCATTGAAATTTGGGCCCGTCCCATCAGTCCTACATACCAAAATTACTTCTCATACGCCCTTGCTTTTGTGAACCGCCGTGTGGATGGCACTCCATCAGACATTGCTGTCACGTTGCAGGAACTAGGACTGTACAACCCTGGTGGATATGCAGTTGAGGTAAAAATTGTTATCTCTGTCTATTAAACTTAGTTTGAAAGTTATATGTCTTTTGTGATCTTACCACAACTTTGTTTTTCCAGGACCTTTATGAAGATGTGAGCTATGGAGTTCTCACCCCTCAAACCAAAATCAAGGTGAAAGTGAATCCTTCTGGAGTGGTAATTCTTCGTGCTGATGTGCGACCGACAAGAGCCCTTGCCCAGCAGTTCCTTGAGGCTCGTACTCCTTATGACCCCTACCAGCAAGTTTTCCAAGTTCGCCGTAGCAGTTTTCAGAAGAAGTAAATTATTCTAAGTTATTTTGTACTTTAATTTGAAAGACTTGTGAGCTTCTGATTTAAGGTGACCTTTCAAGATGAAGCAAACAGACAGAAGTCACAGTGGAATGTGTCAAAGTTGAATTCATATAAATCAATCTTTTAAATTCAATTTAATTTCAAGTGTGCCCTATGGCTCAGTATTTATTATTCCCATAATTCTGGATGTATAATTTAGCTCACCAGCTCAAAAACAAAAAATAAAATCTTTGCAAACTTTTGATTATTTCAAAAAATATAGCAGTTGTGAAAAACTTGCCTTTTTTTTGTTCAGACACAGAAAGTACTTCTGTAAAAGTATCTTTCCCAATTCAAATGAATATTACAAGCTGGTGAGAAATAAGACTGTTAAAGAAAAAATGATATTAGGACATCCTTAATTGTGTTAATGTTAAACATCGAATCAATATTAGAGTTATGTGTGCAGTGCAACATTATTTTATCTTATAGTTCCAATTTGGTTCTGATTTCCTCTTATTCTTGCAACCTTCTCAGGTAAGAAGGCCAAATGCTTTCGATTTTTCTTCATGCTTTTCAGCTCAGAGTTCTGTTCTTGTGACAATATTGAACTGTAAAGAGACTGATGAGATGTAATACAGAACAGTCAATTTTAGAGGAAGCCTTACTTTTAACTGTTGTGTTCTCTTGTACTGTACACTAGAGCCCTTGCACTACTTTGTCATTGTCTATGTGCTTCCAATGGTTTGGCCAACAGAGTTACAGTTAGTGCCATCCTTGTAAACATTAAGTTTGGTGATGTCATTTGTTTGCTATATTAAAGTTTTGTATGAATGAACATCGTCCAAACAGCTTATCATCATGTAGGGACTTTGTGTCCAATAATTTACATTTGTGGTTTGTGGTTGTACAATACAACCACACTCAACATATCAGATGAATGAGTCTTTATTTGATGTAAAGCAAACGTTTCAGGTCATGGCATAGGTCAAGCCTGCTATAAAAATGTGATAGAAACAAATTTAGTGTGTCTTGTTCTTAAGTATTTGTGTTATTTTATTGTGTGAATTGTGCACCAGTATTGCGAGCAAACCTATACTTTTAAGAATGTGTGTGTGTGTGTGAATATTTGTAAGTATTGTAAAGTAAAATCTTTGAAAACTCAATGACAGGGTGATACATCGTGATCTTTTCTTTTTTGTTATACAGTAACTCGTATAGGCATTTTAAACAACATTTTGTGGGAACTTTTTACATCACTCCTTAAATGGAAACTACTGAACACATATTTTAGACTTGTTTTACTTGTTTCCTGTTACTTTGTTGGTGTGCAAAATTTTGATTTAAAGGCAGATCCATCATTGTACATAATTTAATCTTCTTTTAACTGTACTTGTGATGCAGAGCACAATAATTTTCTTATCCTTAAATGTAAAAATATCAAGTGTGGTGGTCTCACTGTGTTACATAGTAGTGTTCACAGCATGTTTTCTGTTACTTGCTGATGACTTAATTTTACCTTATGTGATCTGTGCATCTTAACTTGAAATGCAAAGCACAATTTGTATTTTAGATTTGTTTTTCTAAATGAAATGTAATCTGTTTTATCATTCAATTTTATGTTGTAGTTGGAACCCACCGTCATTCAAGCCTTTTTTACCTGTTACTTTTGAACAAATTTGCAAAATTGGAAAGAATTGGATGAATGGCTATGTTGTTAAAATAAAAATAATTTTGATCACACGGTTTGTATAAATTTTTACTTGATTCCCAGCTAATGAAATATAATCCATTTTAACTGTAAAATATCACTAGAGGCAATCAACATGATAAACTGTGGCCTTTCCTGTTGAGTTGTTAGCAAAGGTGTATGGAAAAGTTGATAATCCATGACAAACAGCAGCATGTTGGCCATCTTTTCTCAAAACCACCATTGCACCTTGAAATTCTGGATACTTTGCAACAATCCGTCTCATTGCTGTTTCTGCTGCCTGTTTGGGGCTTTGACCCCGCCTCATTTCTTCTACTGCCAAGAAACTAGATGAAGAA